CAATATACCTACTTACTTCCCATTAAAGTATAAATTCTACAAATAAATAATACTCAACAATATTTAAAATAAAATGAGCCAAGAACGTTTATCGATAAAACCTGATAACATTGAAATCTTTTGTACAGCACTAAAGCCGCCATGTTTTGAGGCCAGATGACGTCACAGTGGCACGAAATTTTGGTTGACGTTTCATTTCCATAGGTTTCCTACTTCATTGACTCAGATAGAGGTTTTGAATCGTAGTGATTTGACAAACGAGGTTGATGAGCGAGATGACATTGAGCAGTTATTTATTTCAAACATCGTTTCCGCTCAAAGCATTATTAAACAACATAATGCAAGTAAGCATGACGAAAGTAATTACAAAGATCTTAACTCTAGTCAGTCATCAGCTCAGTGTAATATCGATCATCATGATGTTTTAGGATTTAAATTGTCCCAAATACAGATTGCTAAGTTTGACGGATCATATTTCCGTTGGCTTGAGTTCCGTAACACGTTTTTGAGTTTAATTCATAACAATGAGCGAATTGCTCCAATTCATAAGTTTCATTATTTACTTTCATACTCAAGGGGTGATGCAGCACGCATTATTACTAACTTCGAAGTTTCTAGTTCCAATTATAAAAATACTTGGCAATTGTTATGTAGTCGTTATGATAATAAGCGTCAATTGATAAATCATCATTTAAATTCATTATTAAATATTCAACAGACAACTCGTGAGTCTGATAGATCTTTAAGATTTATGGTAGATCACATCACTAAGAATTTAAGGGCATTGTCTAGCCTAGGCCAACCTATCGACAAATGGGATGTCCTCATAATTCACATAATGAGCTCAAAGCTGGACAGCCACACTCTTTTGAAATGGGAGGAGTATCGTGGCGCGTTGGTTGATGTACCGAATTTGGAACAATTTTATAAATTTTTAATCAATCGTGCTGACGTCCTTGAGTCTATAAATCGTAATTCGTATAAATCAATGCATTTTAACTTTACTACTTCTAATATTAATAATAAGCAAGATAAGCCATATACAAAATCTTTTGCTTACAATAACAATGAAACCACTACTCCTGCAAATCTTATATCGTGTGTAGTGTGTCAACAAGGTCATCGAATCTACAACTGCCGTACCTTCATTATTAAGAGCGTAGAGGAGCGTATAGCTGAAGTACACAAATTAAAGCTATGCACTAATTGTTTGAGGCCATTGTTTGAGGCTAGGTCACAAGCTACGAACTTGTCGTCTCGGTCCGTGTCTTAAGTGCAAAGGAAGACACAATACTCTCATACATAAACCAGTAGATACTGTACCTAACAATATACTCATTTCCAGTGTCTTGTCCGTGCCAGACGGCACTGACGATACTATTGTAAATTTTTCTAAACAGAATAAAAATCAAGTTTTGTTATCTACAGCCTTAATCGAGGTGGCTAATCCACGGACGAACAAGACAGAAAAGGTTCGCGCCCTATTCGATTGTGGAAGCCAGTCTTCATTCATAACGGAGACACTTAAACAGAAGCTGTGTTTACCGTCAAACTCAAACTGCCTTGTCAACATTATGGGCATAGGCCATCATCATACCGGTAAGGTCACAGAGACCTGTGTGGCGCAATTGAGGTCATTAGTCAACCAGTTCAACGTCACATCAGGCTTTTTAGGATTACCACAAATAACAGGTCACATACCTAAATTACATATAGATACTACACAAATACAAATACCTAATGGCATCCAATTAGCAGATCCAAACTTTCACCAACCAGCGCCGATTGAAATACTCATCGGTGCCGATCTTTTCTGGGAGATTCTTCCTAATAATCCAAAGTTAAGAAGCTCTCAGTTTGGTTGGATTATTTCGGGTCCTATGACTACAATCACTACATCACACAAAAATAAAACAGTACAATGTAACCATTCCATAATATCAAACAGACTTAATGATGACAATACTAAAATTCACAATTACCTAACTAAATTCTGGGAACTTGAAGAAGTTCCACTAAGATCCAAATTGAGTGAAAGTGAGAAGGCATGTGAATCTCATTTTCTATCTCACACTTTCCGCTTAGAGTCCGGTAGATTCGCAGTGAGTTAACCTGTAAAGGAATCACCCGACTGTCTTGGACAGTCATACAACTTAGCCAAATTACGATTATTGAATTTAGAAAGTCGCTTTCCTCATGACATTTGGCAGATTCGTGTCACACCGGGGCTGGCCAACTGAGGTTTTCTGTGATAACGGACGCAATTTTGTAGCAGGTTCTAAAGAACTTAATAATTTTTTTTCAAAATAAACTCTAAATCTTTATCTGATTCTGCAAGTGAGGATGGAATAAAATTTGTATTTCCACTAACATACGCTCCTCACTTTGGCGGAATCTTTGAGGCCGGAATAAAATCCGCAAAATTTCACATTAAGCGCGTTATGGGTAATTCACACTTAACATTCGAAGAAATATCTACTCTTTTCGCACAAGTAGAGGCTATATTGAATAGCCGTCCATTATGTCCCATGTCACCCTCTCCTGATGACCTCCTTTGCCTGACTCCCGGGAGCTTTCTCATTGGCCGGGCTCTCACTGCTCTTCCTTCGCCTGTGCTGGAAGACTGCAACTACAATAATTTGCAACGCTACGCTCGATTACAGCTAATATATCAACATTTTTGGCAGCGCTGGCAGCGTGAATATATTGCTGAACTTCAACAACGCCACAAGTGGAAGACCAATTCTTCAAACCCAAATGTAGGAGATTTGGTCCTGCTGCAAGAAGATGATGTTCCTCCTCTCTGCTGGAGACTTGGACGCATATCCAGACCATTTTATGGTCCAAAGTACCTCGAGTTGCTGACGTCAATACTTCTAGAGTCTGCGTGCGCCGCCCGTTTTTCGTCTGTGTGCCTTGCCTACCGCAGAAGAACTAGAGGGTTGAAACCCGAAGAATCGACTTTCAACGGGGGGAGGATGTTAACGCCTACGAAATTTTACTGAGCAATATTGAAATCTTATTTATGTTCACCGACACAATTTTAAAACACACTTCAATTAATGGCCGTGCCAAGCTAACTTGTTCGCAATGTAAAAAAAAACTTCAGAGGTGTCAAGGGACACCCGGATGGAACGAAGTTCCTTTCGATTAATTAGTGAAGGAATTGTAATTTTTTTTTAAGTTATAATAATAAATTACGGCATTATGAAGAAGAAAAAAACAATAGAAGTAAATTACTATTGTTGAAACGCTATCTCGAGAAACTGTACTCATTACGCGGACCAATCGGATACGAGCAATGTCACGCGATAAGCGCCTACACGTTGATTGGTCAGAATGACGGATCTAAAAAGTGTCGTGACAACTTTTCGTAAGAATTTTTTCCGTCTAGCCCCCTTTCACAACGCGCGATAAGGAACTTCGTTCCAANCTAAATTACTATTGTTGAAACGCTATCTCGAGAAACTGTACTCATTACGCGGACCAATCGGATACGAGCAATGTCACGCGATAAGCGCCTACACGTTGATTGGTCAGAATGACGGATCTAAAAAGTGTCGTGACAACTTTTCGTAAGAATTTTTTCCGTCTAGCCCCCTTTCACAACGCGCGATAAGGAACTTCGTTCCAAAATTAACAAAAACCTGTATAAAGGAAATACAAGCACAAAATCGATTGTGGAAGTTTTATTGAAGAAACCCAAGCATCCAACATGCTGTGTGAGGTATTAGAAGAGTTAATATTCATTACCAAAGAGCAAATATTTCTTAAAATAACTTTGAAGCCAAAATTATTAACGGAACCCATTTTTACACGACAGCAAAAAAGGTTTATTAGATTTTGAGTATTTCTCGTTCTCTTTTCGTAGAATTTAGTAGATTTGAACCTCCACAAGCAGTAGATTCGTCAAATAAAATCTGGTTACACTGCTGCCAGACTTGAGACTAAAGATGGGTTAATACCGATATTTGTCAATATTTGCTAATACGAATATATTCATAATGTAATATTATTAAACCTTAACTAATACGTGAATATAACCTGATATCTTAATATACTTCGATAAAACAGGTAAACGAGTTAAACCTAGTACGGTATTCGTGAAATAAGTTAATAATCATAGATAATAAACATAAATTAGTTATTTAATAATATAAATAGTATATTGTATCTAGGAATTTGACTTCATACTAAATATTTTAAAAGTAGGTAATATTATGTACATTAATATGAATATTACTATTAAATCAGAATTTGATCAATATTGTACATTAATATAAACAACAAGTTAGGAATATTATTTATTTCTTATTGGTGCATAAAAACATCAGCTTTTTTACTTTTTCTACCGAAAGACTAGTGCGTCGGTCAGAAATGAGTCAGATTCTGAAAAAATCCTCTCACACGGTACTGAGGTGGCTAGTAGGTAGTTAAGTTGGGCACCTCTGCTGACGCATGTCTGCAAAGGCAGATCTTCGGCGAACTCAACTGCTGAATTGTGGAATTCGCAGACGACGGCATCCGCTGGACCGGTGGTCCCATACACTTGACTAGGTACACAACAGTTATAATCCATGAACCGTTTGTTTAGAAAGTCATTTCGATTCAAAAATCAAACTTTTATTTATATTTTGAGAAGTTCTTAGAAGATAATTAAATCCCACCGCAAAAATATATTGTCATCATAATTTATTACGTAAAAACACTTAATTTAGTAGTGGCAGTATTACATTTAGTGTAAAAATATTTGAATTTACGAAATTGGTAAACAATGTCATCTACCTACTTTCGTTTTTCAAATTATCGTTTTAAAACCAACTAATTCGAAGGAAACAGAAAATATAATGCAAATAAAGCTCACCGATTTTATTCCAATAAATGTGAAAATGCACTATTTTGCCTTGAGTAGAATCTTTAGTTGAATCAAGAAATGAAGGTTCAAACATTAAAAAGTAATGCATTAAAAAATTCCCACTAGCATCTTTGACATGTAAAAAGTGCAATACAAAATAGTCCTTAAACTCATAGTGATATGTACTTATTTTCATTGCTCAGTATATAAACATGTAGATTATCTCACCTACTCTTAGAGCATGCAGTATTGTTATGAATGTGATAGAGAGATATCCGCGAGACACGTACGGCGTATGCCAGTATATTTTCGTGTGATAGATACCTCGCTAGAAGTAACAGTGTTCTGTGGATAGATACAACCCGACCGATGTGAGTTGGCTAATATTATGAATAAGTGAATACGGAATATTAGCATATCAGAATTCGACGGATTACCGATACACGAATACAAGCTGTATTACGAATATCTCAGTGAATACTAATATATCGGTATCACCCTTACATCCGCCATTAAAACAAGTCGCACGCACTGGCACACAGAGCTCATGTCGTTTTAATATAAAATATAGTCATGCTACAACCCGGCCATCCTCTGGCTTCATATTGTGTCAGAAGTGAGGAATTTGGAAAATAATATTTAAAAATACAAAAATATCCCTGAAATTATATTCAAAATGGATAAAGTCGAAAACACACAACATGGCGGACAGGGCCGCGCAAGTCACTTAATGCTACATCAGTCACATAAGGGCTCAAACCCTTAGATATATGAGAAGCTCGAACATGCCCTTAACTTGGAAAAACTGGTATACTCAACTTAAAATATACATGCGAGCTAATAATCTGGAAGATGAATGTGATCAACGCAAAGTCGCCATCTTAATATATTACATTGGACAAGACGCGTTAGTGATATTTTATTCATTTAATGTCGATATTGATACAATNGAAGATGAATGTGATCAACGCAAAGTCGCCATCTTAATATATTACATTGGACAAGACGCGTTAGTGATATTTTATTCATTTAATGTCGATATTGATACAATATCCTTTGAAGAATTAGCGTCGAAATTTAGTAATCACATCATTCCTCAAATAAATGTGACAATGGAACGTCATAAACTATTCAATCGAAGACAAAATCTAGAAGAATCGATAGACAACTATGTAACAGATTTAAAAAATATTGGCAGACGATGTAACTTTGATTCATTGGAAGATGACCTAATTAGAGATATATTTAGCTAGAATCTACATGCAAAAAACCAATACATGAAAAAAAAAAATCTTATACAAAAGCCGGAGACACTTGACCTAGTGTTCAATTAGCCAAGCAGTTGGAGACTACCAGGAAACAAGCTAAATTATTGGAAGAAACTTCATTCATCGGGCAGGTCCAGTCTAATTCCAGTTATAGAAGACAAAGGCAGTCAACTAGTACTTCACATGCAAGAGATCTACAGTCAAGCCAGAGCAGACATACATCTAGTTCCAGACAACAGTCATATAACCAAGTAAATAAAGAATGTGGTAGGTGCTTACAAATACATAGGTATAAATGTCCCTCCTTAGGAGTAAAATGTAAAAATTGTGGCAAATCATTTTGCAGTAGCATGTAAGAATAAAAATGTCCATTTTGTAGAAACTGAAGGTCATATGCCCAATATAAACACAAATAATAGGCTACATATGGGAACAATTCATGTCAATAATGTAAACAAAGAGTCATGGCAGATAAATTTATTAATAAATAGTCTTAGTGTTACTTTTCTACTAGACACAGGTGCCGATACTAACATATTGAATTTAAAAACTTTTCATCAATTAGGAAGTCTCTTAGACAGTATATCAAAGAGTAGACATAAATTATCATCTAACAGTGGTGAAATAATACCCACAGTAGGTCAATGTACTTTAAAAGTATATTACAATGCACAAAGCTACATTCATTACTCCTTTTGGTAGATACAGATTTACCCGACTTCCATTTGGTATTAACGCTGCTCCAGAAAATTTTCATCGAGAAATGGTTAAACGGTTTAGTGATATAAATAATGTCAAGGTAATGATGGACGATTTTCTAATTTTTGGAAAAACTATATAAGAACATAATGAGGCACTTCAAAAAGTATTAAATAGGGCTCGTGAATTAAATATTAAATTTAACAAAGAAAAATCTTCAATATGTTGTACAGAAGTTAAATACTTAGGACATATCTACAGTCAAGAAGGAGTCAAAGTTGACCCTTCA